TTTTGGATGGTACTACATAAACGTTTGCATTCATCTGTAATATCTGTATTTTATCCACTTGTTGTAACCATATGTTGGATTACATGAAACGAATCTTATCTATCCTTAATCTTGACTGTTTTCTTTTACAGATTGATTGGATTAATGACTTTATAAAAGCAAAAGTTGCACATTGTCTCGAGCTACCATGAACCAAAGAGAAAGCTGGACAGTCATGATGATAAAAACGTATATTTAACTACTAAAAGACCATATAGCTGCTCGATGAGTCTCAGATTGGAAGACGGTGCCATAACTTGCTAATATTCCGGGATCAATTATGTTATTCGAGAGAAAAATAGCTTTTTCCGTGATCACTTGTGTTGTTATATAAGTAATTAAAAATTATTTAAAAAATCGGTATCATTTGCGCATTTTCTTTTGAAAATTTATAACCGGGATCAATTGTGCTTAATTTCCGGGATCAAAAATGTATTTATCCATTAATGTTGATAATTGATTAAAATCAATTATTTTCAAAACATCCTAAATAATCGGTTAAAAATCTAATCGATTTTAATCGATTAATACTGGTATTTGATTACTATCGATTATTTTCAAAAAATCCGAAATAATCGATTATTAGCAAGAGTCGATTAAAACGAATTTTTTTTATGAAATTCGAAATGATAGATTAAAAATCTAATCGATCAAACCCATGTTAAAAAACAGCCTAAAAATCTGATTTAAATTGATTTTTCGGAGAAAAATCAGAAAAAAGCAATTGAAAGCAGCAATTTCGATGAAGTTCTTGGAGAAAATCGATTAAAATCGATTATTTTTAGAAAATTCGAAATAATCGATTTTAATCGATTAATGCTGGTAATCGGTTAATAATCGATTATTTTTTGAAAAATCAGAATAATCGATCAAAAATCTAATTGATTTTAATCGATTAATGCGCGTAATCGATTAAAATCGATTATTTTTAAAAAATCCAAAATAATCGTTTATTGTGAAACAGAATATGAAAGGATTGTTGATATTGTGAACCAGTGACGTATAGCACAATAAAAGTAGATATTAAAAAAAAAGGACTGTTGATATATGTGGGGTAGAAATTCAGAGCGTGATCCTCCCTCCACACACATACATTCGCAACATGGGAAATAGGGTTTGTACCCGTAACGGACCGTGTGGGACAGGCTTAAGATTCAGCGCAGACCGTCAGGTCCGCCTTCAAGGAACTCTCAGAAAGCATGTGAAAGTAACATTTAGTTAGAATATTTCGTTTGCGTTTCGTTTTTGAAATTCTTTGGTCCAAAGCGAAGAGTGACAAAGAAATATGTCGTAAAATATATGAAATTTTCAGTTTGCATGAAGTCAATGAGAATGGGTTTGGTTTAGCGGCGTAACCAGAAAATCGTGGGTGGGTGGGCGGCGCCCTACCATCTTACAAAATGACTCTACTGTACGAGGACAACGAAAATGTCTATTTATTTATTTCACATTTTTCCCATCGGTGTGTGGACAGAGACCTTGTGTTAGAAGGTGCTGCCCACTCATACCCCTTTAAATACGCCACTACGAATATTGTTATAAAAAATTTGCTTTTTTAAAAATTATCGGTGAGTGGGCGAACGGGTTCGGTGAGTGGGCAGAGCCCACTCATGCCCTACCTTGGTTACGCCACTAGTTTGGTTGTGTTTCACATTTTATTTCTACAGCGATTGCGCTAACTGCTTTTTAAAGGAATCTAAATTATTGATTAAAACTGCAATAAATTTTAATAGATTAATCTCGCGGTTTAACAGATTTTAATCGATTAAGGTGGGTTTTGATCGATTTTAATTGATTATTTATGTAATTGCGCAATCTCAATTGATTCAATTTATATAGGAGTTCGAATTTTAGTATATATGTCAGGCACTAGCTTGGCGACAGCCTTATGGTTTCTTGCCACGGAGAATTCAAAAAAATTATGGAAAAACTAGGGTTTCGCGTTCAAATCTCGGTAAAAGCTCCTATTTTCGAGGCATATGATTAAAATCGATTATTTAGTAAGTATAGATTAAAATAAGAAAATAGGTAAGGGTGGATTAAAATCAGAAAATAGGTAAGCGTAGATTAAAAGGCATTAGGAAACAGTAATAGATGAAAATTGACTGAAAGGTACCCATGTAAGGAGCTGAGAGCAACTAGAGTTTAATTGATTTTGATAAATTTTTTACGTATAATCGATTTTAATCCGATTTTTAATCATAAAAATCAATTACGCTATGAAAAATCAAAAAAAATGATTTCTATGATTAAAAATCAGATTAAAATCTGATTAAAATCGTGCCATTTTAATCGATTATTAATCAGAATGTTAATCCATTAAAATCTGATTTTTTCTAATTTTTTTTTACATGGGTACTTTTGGGCCACCCCGCATCTATCCTTCATTGACTTGACCCAACCCAACTCGAAATCACATCATATGTTTTACATTTATCCATAGACATATATTCTTCATTCACTTGACTCAACCCAACCCAATCCATCCCATCCCAACTCAACCCAACCCAACCCATCCCAACCCAATCCATCCCATCCCAACTCAACCCAACCTAACCCAACCCATCCCAACCCAACCCAACCCAACCTGAAATCAAATCATCTATTTTATACTCATCTATAGATATACATTCTTTATTGACTTAGTCAAACCCGATTCACCCCAACCTTAGAAATGGACTCTTCATTTCTCAAATGTTGAAAACTTTGAATTTCCAGGAAATCGGAATTTACCATGCCCTCCACATTTCTTTTTTATGGAAAAACCAATTCAATTTCATGAAATAATGAGTGAAATATTAAGTGATTTATCACAAAATTTTCATACATTAGCATCAGGAGATAAAACTATAACTACAATAATACTTTCAGAGTAAGAAATATGCAACACATTTTACATGAATATTTTGGTCAGATGTATTTTCAAAAAACAAAACTCTATGAATCGTTATAATCAAGGCTATTACCTTGATTTCTTGATTCTTTTTTTCGCGCACATATATATATGACAAGCCTGTTTATAATTATTGTGATATGTTTACATTTTGTGATTTCTTTCTTTTTGTTTTTCTTCAGATTTTTATGTGCACAAAAAAACAATGAAAGATTTTTCTTTTTTTGAAGTTAGATATGAAAATAAAATGAATAATGTTTCAGATATAAAAAAAACAATGACGACAACGACGAATGATTTTTTATTGACAAATGGAAATGATTCAGCGTCGAATGCAATTGATCAAATGATTTCATTATCAGTTCTTAATCATGACAATACAACTAATCAAAATTCTAATATATTAATATTAAATCAAACAAGTACAACGAAAAAAATTTCTTCTCCTAGGTTCGTATATCAAATGAAATAGGACCGAGTTTTTTAAAATTGTATATCATTTATATAGTAATAAGATGAGTTATAATTCAATTTTCTTTTGTTTATCAATCATTTTAGAATTTCGTGCTCTATTCCATTGAATAACTACTCATAGGTATGCTTTTCGACAAAAAAAGGTTTTCTGAACATATTTACACATGCATGAGATTGAATTCGAATAGTAACTTTCAAAATGACGCTGCATGAAGACATTGAAAAATGAATTAATTCTGCATATTGATAAATTTGACATATTATAGAAAGTCATATATGCACGAAATGGCTTTCACAAAAACCCTAGAATTGGCAATATACCATAATAAATCATAGTAGAGATCATATTGAAGGTTTCACTTAGATTTAATTAAATATCTGAATTAATATCTATATATATATAATAGTTACGGTAATGTTCTTACACACGAATATGTAAAAAATTCTTCTTGTTTTCAATCGTCTATCAACAATCTCTAGCTGAATTACCTATCAAAGAAATATTAGGAAAAATCGAAAAAATTTTGCAGGATCAACTCTGAAAAAAAAAGTGAAGCTTTCCAACAAGAAAGTTCTTCCATTGGATTAACAATGTCAGAATTTAGATCGATAATTTCTTTGTCTTTTGTTTCGAGTTCGAGATGAAGGAAATACGTCTTTTTTAGGCTTCTAATGCAATTTTTTTTCATATTATTTTCAAATCATTGCTTATTTTTTCACTAAAAAAAGAAGCAAACAAACTGATTGTGTCTGAACATAGGTTATATTATTTTTTTTTTAGTCGTTTTCGTACAATTGAAAATTTAAAAAGGTTCACATGGAAAAGTACGGGTCCTGAAAAATTACTACGTGCAGAAATGAGAATATTTGAAACTGTAAAATCACAATTTCAAGGTCGTTATATCAATGTTTTAAATGATACACAAAAAATCTGGACTGTTTGTTCAAATTTAACATCAAAAAATATTCCTGTTGTACTTATTCATGGTTTTGGTGGTGGTATTGGTTTATGGAGTTTAAATCTCGATCAATTATGTATTGATCGACCTGTTTATGCTCTTGATTTACCAGGTTTTGCACATAGTACTCGACCAATATTTAGTCTTGATCCAGATGAAGCTGAACAACAATTTGTTAATATGCTTGAAGAATGGAGAATTGGAATTGGACTTAATGAACGTTTTATACTTCTTGGTCATAGTTTTGGTGGTTTTTTAAGTGCATCATATACTATACGTTATCCAAAATATGTTGAACAACTTGTTTTAGTTGATGCATGGGGTTTTGAACGAAAACCGGATAATTGGCAAGAATCACCTATGCAACGTATACCACCATGATTAAGATCATTTTCAACAATAATGATGAAAATTTCTCCACTTGCTGAACTTCGTGTAGCTGGACCATTTGATAAGAAATTTTTAAAAAAAGTGACTTTTAATTTATTTTATATAATTTTATTGAATTAGGTGTTCATATAATGAAATATTTTCGACCAGATTTACGTGTTAAATTTGAAAAATTATTTAATGATGATAGAATATTAGAATATTTATATCATTGTAATGCTCAAGTACCAACTGGTGAACAAGCTTTTCGAACAATAAGTGATGTACTTGCATGGGCAAAAAGTTCATATTTTTTTTATATCATTTCTTTTTTTTAATTTAATAATTTGTTTTTTTTTGTAGAACCTATGATTGATCGAATACATTTAATTGATGAACGAATTCCAATATATTTTCTTCATGATGAACAATCATGGGTTGATATTAATTCATCTGTGATTGCACAAGGAAAACGTGATAATGTATATATAGATACAATTAAAGAAGCTGGTCATCATGTAAATAAACAAAAAAAAACAATTTTTAAATTAATTTATTCTTGATTTTTTATCTTTTTTTTAAAGATTTATGCTGATGCACCAGATGAATTTGATATGTATTTAAAAAGAATTTTAATCAACAGAAATTAATATAGTTCTATTAATGTAATCAAATAATAGATAAATTTATTTTTGTATACAATATTGATGCTATTTAAATAAACTGTGATCATTGAAAATAATTTCAAAAGAAAAAAAAATGAAAAGAAAATTTTTAATCAAAATCTATCGTAATTATATTTATGTAATAATTTACATTTTTAGGGGAAAATTTTATGTTATGATGAAAAGGAAATTATATTATTTAATGTTTGTTTGTTCCGATTAGATTGATTAGAAAATATTTCGATTTCCGTATGTGTATGTAATTCATTAAAAAAAAAAGAGTTGGTTTTAGTTATATGTAATCCGGTTTATGAGCTTATATTTGTGATGAAAAAAAAAATGGTGAAAAATTTAATCATATTCTATTATTAACTGTGTTAAATACAAATTTTCTTTTTTTTAAAGTTCGTGGTAGAAACAAACTAAAATAATTGAAATGTTGTTTTTGATTTTATCTGGTTCAAATAATAAAAATGAAATTTTAATTATATTTCTTTGTTTGTAGATGAATTTTCTAATTTTTTTTTATTGTCGTTAGAAATAAAATATTAATACATGTCTTATGAGATTGAATGAATCGAAGACAAGTAGAGTACTATTTTAGTTAAATATTCAAGGCACCAATGTAATCTACATTGTCTGTTAATTTTTATTTATTTTCACTCAACAAAAGTAAATTTATTCATCTTTATGAAAACATTCTTTCATTGTAAAACTAAAAATATTTTGAATAATTAATAAAATAATATTTAATAGAAAATTAATCGAATTTGAAAAAATAAAAAAATAAAATAAATAAATGTATGAGATGGAAAAAATATGGAAGATTTCGAATTACTATTCGAATCAATTGTTAATGGTGGATGCATTGAAAATCGAATAGCATTAAAAACTGCTTTTTGACCTAATGCTTCCAAATAAATATTTTGACGTTCAGCATCAAGTAAAAAATCTCCAACAGATATCTAACGTGAAAGACTAACTTGTTGATCATAGAGGTTGTTTGAAAATCATATGATCAGTAAGGAGAGAAGTTAGACAAGTGATCATGTAATCAACATTCTAACTTTCAGTTTCTTTAAAAAGAAATCAAGTATTTACATAAAAAAATCCCATTTTCCAGTCGATTCTCTTTAATTTTCATTCAAACGTCGTTTGATATGAATATGGACCTGTACTACTTGTTGATCCAGCAACAGTAATACCAGTAGTAGCGCCTATTAATAGTTTATTTTAACATTGTATGCATTAACTTTTTTTTATCATCACCTGCATCCTATGGGTTTATTCATTAATGACATACTATTAACAAAATTTAACATTCGAAATTATTAAAAGAGAAATAAAAAAAAACTTAATCACACTTCAGGAGGCTTCAAAGATGATAGAATTTGGTCATTTTGAGTTGAAAATAAGATAAATTGGTATGTGAATCCT